TTTTGTTGTTAGTATTCGTATAATCTAATAAATGTTACATTTAAGCAATTTACTACTATATTTATGACATATTATTCCATGACTAAAGTTGATAACAGACATTACTAAGGATTCTTTGTGGCCTGGAATGAGAGGAGGTCCATGGGGCGGGTGACACCATGAATTACCACAGTGGGTGACACCAACCCTAGTCGCGCCACTGGGAGGAGGTGACCGTTTTGATGCATTCGATGACTGATAGTCCGTATTGGCCCTTGAACCTTAGCTCGTGAATGAATCGCGGGAGTGTAATTCCTTAGAAATAATAGCCCCCTGGAACGTGGAGGAATTCAAGGAAACTGGATTCTGGGACTTGTGTAGACGTCAGTCTACAAGGGCGGTTGTTGTTGTGTGCAGTTGGGTCGATTTTGACTCATGGCAGCCCCATGTGACAGAGTAGAACCGCCTCAGAGGGTTTCCTAGGCTGTCATCTTTAGGGGAGCAGAGCTGTGGGGTGGGTTTGAACCAGCAACCTTTAGTTAACAGCCGAGCACTTAAACCATCGCACCACCAGTGGTCGAGGCACACAGATTATCTTATGCAAATGAAGTCAGCTTTAAGACTGGCGTAAGTAAGTCCCTTTGCCTCCCATGAACGTACTTGAGTGCATTTGGTTTGTCGAGTACAATTTCTAATAAAAAGAGAACTTTTTGTTTTTTAGAAGTGAGAGCTCAAGTAGAATATTGAATTATTTCAGATTTTTTATTTATATCTCATCAAGTTCTAAAACTATGATGTCGGAAGCTGTACCACTGGTACTTCACAAACCAGCAGGGCCACACAATGGCGGACAAGTTTCAGTGGATCTTCCAGGCCAAGACCGACTAGACGGAAAGGCTTAGTGATCAACTCCCAAAAATTAGCCAGTGAAAACGCTATGGATCACAACAGAAAATTGTCCAACTCACTTGCTTTGGACATGTCATCAGGAAGGATCCATTGCTTAAGGAGGACATCATGTGTGATGAAGTAGAGGGCTAGCAAGGGTGAGGGGGACCCTCAGTGAGATGGTTGGCATGATAGCCACAGTGATGGACTCAAGCATGCTGGTGATCGTGAGGCTGTTGCAGAACCAGGCCATCTTTCATTCTCTTGTACATAAGGTAGCCATGAGTCAGAGTTGACCCGCCAGCATCTATCTGCCTACCGAGGTGGTTCTTAGCCATGCCAGAGGTTGAGACCCACTGTTGGAGATAATGAGGAAGGAATCCCAGCATCCACCTTGATCCTTGGGAATTTTGAGGTGGAGTCAAGGTTACTGAATTTGTTATGGAAAATGTGGCTGTACACACCTTGGCACAACAGGTGGGTTTCTTGGCATCAGGGCTGTGACGTTTGGGGACATGTCGGATTTCTGCTGACACGGAGGAGGTGATGGTAGAGAGTGTAGCCCACCTGTCTTGTTTTGTTTGTGGAAGCTTCTCGGATCTCCTCTTGCAAGAAAACATCCCCAACTCGTGGACTTTCAGGACATTCTGGCTGGAGGCCATTTCTCCCCTGAGAGCTTTAGCACCCACAGTCACAAATGGCTACTTGTAAAACCCCTGGTCTGGAAGGTTTGCACTGGGATGGCGAGGTTTCCCTCCGACTTAGAGGGGTGTGTTGTTTTTCAGAGATTCATATTCATATAAAAGGAGTCCCTGCGTGGTGCAAAAAGTTAACCATCTCATCTAGTAACTGAAAAGATTGGAGGTTCGAGTCCACCCAGAGGCGCCTTAGAAGAAAGCCTGGTGATCTACTTCCAAAAAAATCAGCCACTGAAAACCCTAAGGAGCATAGCTGTCCTCTGGCACATATGAGGTCACCATGAGTTGGAATTGACTCGACAGCAATGAGTTTTTTTTTTTTTTTTGGTTTGAGTGGTACAGATGATTAATGCATTTGGCTGCTAACTGAAAAGTTGGAGGTTTCAGTCCACCCAGAGGTGATCAGCTTCTGAAAAATCAGCCATTGAAAACCCTCGGGAGCCCACTTCTACCCTGACACATGTGAGGTCGCCATGAGTTGGAGTCGACTCGATGGCAACTGTTTTTTGTTTGTATAAAATGCACTGTTTTGGGTAAATGACACGGCTTTATTGCGAGTGAGGGCAGAAGCACTGATTCCAGTGCAGCGCTGGCCCTTTTGCCTGGATATTCAGTTCCTGGTGGCTAAGTCTCCACTTCAGCTGGGCGCGGCGATCCTTGTCTGTGCTGTCACTGTGGAGCTCAGCGCCCCTCAGGCTGACCGGAGCTTTTTCCTTATGAAGCCCCTTCCACCCATGAGCAGTACAGACAGGGGCCCAGGCCCTGTGGGGCTCCAGGCTTCTGTGGAGGTAACACAGCTCAGCCCAGACTGTGATTTACAGGTTCTGCACCCAAGGCCAGGCAGCTCCAATTTGTGTCAATTTGCATCAGGCATAGAAGGCACAGGGAGTGGGGGTGGCTGCCATCTCTCAATTAGAAATAATTCAATAATAGGTTATTATATTGGAAAACAATACTTTTCTACAATAAATTAAGTTCAGTTTGTGCTCCCTCTGTCAGCCTCGAGCTCAAATATTAATCTTCTGTTCTTTTGTTCAATTCATTTATAACTGTCTGTGCATACATGTTCATCTCTATCCACCCACCTCTCCATATACCTACCCACCCACCTCTCCATCTACCTACCCACCCAGCCAGTCAGCCAGCCACTCACCCATCCTCCACTCATCCATCCATCCATCTACCCACCCACCCATCCACCCATTCACCTATCCATCCATCATCCATCTATCCACCCATCCACCCACTCATCCACCCATCCACCCTTCCATCCACCCG